GGTGGGAGTGCCCAGTGCTGCTCAGTGCCAGCCATTCTCCACTGGCTTCAGTGTCACAGCAAATGGCAGAATGCTGCAGCCCCCTCAGCTCAGCCAGGCATGGGGAAGGAAGCATGTCTGGGAGGTGCAGGGACTGAGATATCATCTTTTATTAAGACAAGTAATAAGGCAAGCAGATGCCTGGGGAGAGATGGTGCATGGCGCTCTGGAATGTGTCTAAATAACATGTTTATGTTTGGCCAGTGATATTGGCTGCTTTGTGAATAGGTTTGTGGCATTCCTTCTGCTTAGCTACCTGTGCACAACAGATAACTTAATAACATAAGAACAGCCTTTCTCCCTGAAAAACATCCCCCTGCCAGTACTTATCACAGTCATCCTGAGCTAACATTACAGCAAGCTCCATCCATTTTCTTAATCTTTAGATCAATTCAGGTATAAACATTATGGCATCCTTGGAAAGAGCCTGGCACAGGGATGATGGGTCTTCAGCCAGCCAGCTCAGGGCACCATTGCTTTAGACAGGAGACAAGACAAGGGAGGGAGTGTAATTTCTGGAAAGGGACATGTGGGATTTTTGCATAATACTGGACTTTCTCCTGGGTGTCCTGTCCTTGAATCCCTCATGTTCTGGCTTTGAAAGCATGTATTCAAGGATTATCAAAAACTCTAAGACTCTAAGAGTTGAATAGTTTTCCTTTGGAAATTAAAAGCGTTGAACCAAAAAGTAAATATTATGCAAAATAATTGCAAAAGAAACACATTCTGGTGTCGTTCACAGCCTTTACTTTTCTCTGCAGCTATCAGTTATTCCAAACTGCATGCTGTGCTCTGTGCCACTTTCAGTCTTAGGAAAAATAGAAACATTTCTGGTATGTAACAATGCTTTGCTTTCTGTGATGATTGCTGCCTCCTCTTAAAGAGGTTCCCTTCTTTAAATGAGCAGGTTTTGGCCAACTCCTTTCTCTTCCTGCCTCCTAAATGCCCTAGTTCCTGGTACAGAACTTTCATTTACTGGGAAAGGGATAGATTTGGTCAAGGAAAGGACAAGGAAACTTATTAAAATATTGAAATAAATGTTAGTGAGTATATCCTATATACAGAAGCTTTCAAACCTGTGAATTAACTGTTACAGCATTCCTAATTGGTGCAGCATTCCTGTGAATCAGGCTGCATACAAAAACGACCCTGCTCAATAATATGGAAAATTCTTCTTTACTGCTTCTGGATCAAACACCTCCACAATAGCACAAAGAAAAGCTGAGATCCAACATATATCACTCCTCTCTTCTAGACTTCATCAGAAAAGAAAAAAACAAAAACATTGATAGGTATTGGATTATTTTTTATCAACAAGCTTCTTCATGCAAGTACAGATCTGTGTCCCCCTGCAGCCAGCATAAAAGCTGGCATAAACTCAATATTGTCTCTCCTGGATAAATTATCAAAGATATAGTGGTGTTTATATGTTTAATTAGACACATCTGGTTGGACTTGATGATCTTGTAGATTTTTTCCAACCTTATTGATTCTATGAAATGGATATGTACAAGTCTGCTACTGACTGCAGAACCATGGCCTGGGTAGAAGCCAGCAGTTATGGTCAGTGTGTGTGCAGACTAACCTTTAATCAATGCTATGATTTTTCTTGACAGAAATAAGTATCAGGGGAGAAAAATGCAAGGAACAATTATAAGTTAAGGTAAAGTAATTGAATTCACAGCCTATTGATCCCAAATATTTTCTTACAGTTTAGAGCAGGTCCCCAGGGCAGGCAGTTCTTGTTCTGAGTGTCAAAAATCCCAGTGTCATCTCCTGGAGCTGGAGAGTTGCTGAGGAGCCATGTGAAGAACCACAGTGGGAATCTTAGTCAGGCTTCAGGAAAATGTAAGCCAAGAACATAACACACAGTGCTCTGGTGCCAGCTCTACTGAGGGATGTCTTGCTGCAGTCCTGGGAGAAAGAGCTTCTCATCTGTACAGTTTCTTCTGGGGTGCTAGGGGCTTGGCAGCAAAGCTCAGGGAACTCCATCTGCCTGCTCTGTTCCACAGACACAGCCATCTCCCAGGAGCCATGGGCATTAGAATCTGTGGGTGCTCGTGATTTGAGGGGAGATGGTTTGTATTCCTGTGGGTTAGAGCTGGAGACTGTTAGAAGTGCCAGGACAGTGCTTACCTGACAGAAATGCCAGTGAGTAATAGTTACCAGATTATATATAAATGACTTATAAATCCAATGCCTCACTTCTGCTTGATGGTTCACTCAAGATAAAGTTTGTTGCTTGGCCCTGATTATAGATGACCATAAAACTTGTCAGATATCTTGAAGGGCTGCTCAAGGCCTCACTCAGATGTCAGCATCCATCAGGAGAGTACTAGCTTGATCCATGCTCAAATCCTTCCCTAGCTCAGTGTGCGTATGCCAAAAAGACCACTACAGCCTCGCAAATGCTGAGATAAGAGAAAAGCAAGGATGCGTGCTTTTATCAGGCTAGGGCTAGGGCCATGTTTTCAGCATGCACAGAATGCCTTTTCACTCAGATCCTGAGGACTTCCCTCCCTGTGGCAACCCAGGAGCCTGGGGAAACACTTGGTTTCTGGCACAGGTAGATGGTTTGCCCAGGAAGCCTGGACATCTCATGCACAGATGGCAGTGGATCCAACCACTGCTGGGGAAGCCCAGATGATTGCTTAGGACGCTCATCCTGGGTAGGGGATGGAGCTGGCTGGGCAACAGAGCTCAGTATCCTCCATTTAAAAGGCCAGCATATTGCTGGCCACCCTCTTTTCACTTGGCACAAGATTATGCATGCAGGTCTCCTTCCACTGTTTTCTCTATCACAGTGTGTATTGAGGCAAGTGAGTTGCTCTTCCAGTTTTGATGACAACACAGACACAGTATCCCCAGATACTGCCTCACTGGAGGGCCAGGACTGCATTTCAGTTCTTTACTCCTCCCACCAAAACTCTTTTCTTAAATGATTCTCTTAATGCAGTTTTGCCAGAAGTGACCAGTTGTTGCATCAGTATTAAGGTCTCTCAAGTTTCTTTCCACCCTACTTGCTAATCACAACTGATGCTTTATGAAATCTCTATCTCCCAAGCATCACCAGAGACACTGAGCTCCCTAAGGGACATACCAACAACATGGGTGTGTTTCAGAGGCCTGATAGCATTCCTGTTGGCTTCTGTGAAATGAGGCCTCTTTCTGCAGTTTCTGCCTCATTTTGGCAGGCACACACCCAGACAAACACACACATACCTGTGCGCAAGCACACACACCCTGCCGGCAGCCACACCCAGCCTCGCACTGCCTGCCGTGCTTTGGCCTCTGTGGCTGCAGTCTACTAAAACTAGATAAAAATGCAGGAATTGCAAGGTGTGAGGGTGCTGTTGGTGGAAGTGGTAGCTAAGAGAGGGAAGAGCAAGAGAAGGCAATGACAGGCCAGGAGTGGAAGTGGCAGTCAGGCAGGTTGAGAAAGAGAACGGGCAATCGCAAGCCAGAAGCATCACTGAAAATGGTTTTCCATAGAAAATTCACTGCAGGATATGCAGCACATCTATCTATTGTTCCTCTGCAATAGGTCTCCTTTGCTTTGGGACACCAGATCCAAAAGATGTGCACTCTTTAAATGCTATCTAGTTCACTAGCTCCACTTTTTAAAGATAGAGCACTTGGGGCCATAGATTTGTATTCTAGCCAGAGAGATTAAGTACCTGAGAACTGAAGTGGAGGCCTAATGTAATCCATTTAATTATTCTCCCTTTAAATATTTCACAATAAAGAGTGGAAATCTCAAAGAGATAAGTTAACTGAAAAACGCAATCTGTGCACAAAATTCCTTCTATTATTAAGTTTTCTGATTCATGCAAAGAAAAAAACAATCCCTTAAATATATAGTCTTAAACACTCACACACAGATACTCCTCCTCACTCATTTGACCAAAATTTCATTATTCTACTGAAAGTTCAGGTGGAAATTTCCACTGACAATTCAAACCAGCTGTCAGAACTCAGAAGTGTCTCTTCATCTGCTGATGGGATAGTTTCCTTGTCTCACCTCACAGCTTCATTTAGCTCCTCTCCTGATTTCAGATAGGCCTGTGGAAATATTTGCTATCGCACATTAGCTATGGTCACTAAAGATATTGTAAACTTGACATGTTTACAATGACAAGCAGCAATATTGGATTAGAAAAGAGCATTAAACTGTTAAATGTGAACTTTCCAACTTGATGTTGTGCCCAGGACTAGGAGAAGGCGAGATCTGAACTAGACAAAAAATACAACTGATTGCCATGTCCCTGACATTAATTATTTTTCTTCCAAACTTCTTGACAATCCAGGAGCTCCCCTAAGCTAGAGGGAAGAACATCAGTGTGCAGTCATTATTAATAGCCAAATGCAGAGGACTGGGCTGAAATAGAGAAGGCTTACAAACCTTATCTAAATGGCTTGCAGTATGAAGAGAAAGAGGTCCTGTGCAACCATTTGGACCAGTACTGCCAACCAAAGGAGCCCCTTTCTGGCTGTGCTATGCTTCTTTCCTGGGCCACTTAGCTGGCTACTGGGTCTGATGGACAAGCCTCCCATGGGAGCCCCTGGACTCCCTGTTGTTCTCCAGACCCAGCAGCCCTGGCTATTTTGCTTGGCAAACAAAAGCGACGCTGTAAGTGACAGCCATACCCCAGGGAAGGGTTGAGTGGAGATTTAATTGCCAATTAACATCTTCAGAAATGCAACCACAGCTTCAGCTAATGGTATGAGAAATCCAGGAAAGCATCAAAGATGAGGGATACTTCTTGGTGCGTGCATGATAAGCCAAAGAGAAGCTTTGCCTCTGCAGCAGGTTCTTCTCTTCCAAAGTTGTTGCATTGCCCGATAATCCCTTCCTTTTTCATTATGAACAAACTGCTATAACAGACACTTGTTTTCAGTCATGAAATACCAACTGGAACACAAGTAGTTCTCTATAAAAGGCTATATATTGCTTTTTCCAGGAATCCCTGGCTGCAGACTGGACCTCAGCAAGGATAAGACCCATCAGCTTTTGGGCACCAGGTAGTGTTACAAATTTTAGCACAGACCTTCTGCTTAGCACACAACATATCCCACTATGTGGCATGAACTAATTTGAAAGAAAAAAGCCTGTGCTATATGTGAATGATGGGATCACACCCACATATGCTATGGATTTGAGCAATATCATTGCTCCAAGGGCTTTATCTAATTACAGAGCTGTGATACACATGGGATTCCTGTTATCATGAGATTTTACAGTATATGAGATTTTCCCTCAGTCAGAACTGAACACAGACAGTAGATCTGAAGCTGTGTTGAACCAGAACTGAACCAAACCAACTTCAGTTCTTACTTAACAACTCAAATAAGAACTAAATCCAGGCTCTGATGATTCACCTGTTTGATCAGCAGTGTGCTCTCACTAGAGGTAAAGGCAAAGAAAAGTAGCAATTCACATGCATGATTCTGCCAAACAAAGCATACATTCTGGATGTATTACATGGCAATCTGGTTTCTTTATCAGCATCTGTTAACAGTCCTGTTCAAATTTAAAAAAAAAATTCTGCTATTTTGTAACAGTTGATAATCCCCAGTCTCCAGAGTGGTTAATCTAGATGTGTGCATGGTTAAAACTTCTGCTGGCCAATTTAAATGTGACTTTCTTAACTACTAATTTGTAATTATGGAGGAGAACAATGACACTGTTGAAACTACTACTGCTTAGAATGTATCCTAACCTTGCAGGACAGCACAAAATTTTGATTGTTTTGCCCTAAATCTAACCATCCCTCTTGTAATTTATCAAAGAGTTGACTACTACAATTAATGAGTTGAAACAAGTTGTTGAATATAAATAAACCATCTTTTCCTAACAAACAGTATTAATTAATTAACAAAATTAACATTAATTAACAAGAGACTTGCCTAGAGAGCCCAACAGAATCTCTGTTACTTTCTATCATTCTTGTTATAGATAAACACAAGTATCTGGTATAAAGATGCTTGTTTGGTATCTTCTAGAGCAACTGGAAACAGAGATTCCAGCCAGTTCCTTAACAATTGAGGTGGGATATGCCTGCAGGTGTGCAATGGAGGAACCTCTACCTGCACAGAGGTTGTAGTAGCTTCCTCTGGCAAGAGGCTTCAAGGCACAGAAGTGTTTCCTGAACTACCATTAAGATGGGGAGAGCCACGTTGGAACGACTGAGGCAGCTCACATCTTTCCTACGCTCTGGAAAACAGAAGCAGAACAGAACTGAATGCAAACAGCTTGGGCAGACACCTGTTAAACAGACAGGAGGAGAGTTTGCAGGACCATATTGCAATGCAGAATGAACAGCAAAGCACAGAAACAGCCCTGTTGAGGGGGCTTGGCTGCAGGCTACTTGGGGGGGGCAAGGCTGGGGACAAGCCAGGAGTGCAGAAGGTGCTTAGAAAAGGGGAAGCATACATGAGACTTTCATGGTGAAGGAAGGGATTTAAACATGTAGAAGAGAATAAAAGCTGGTGTGAGAAGATTGGAGGTCCCAAAAAAACACCGAATAGTGGAAGCTTACTAATACAACACATTCTGGGACATGCTGAGCAAGAGGAAATCTTGCCTGAGAAGAATCTCAGCAGAACTCAGCAGGTCGGTGCTAGCTGAAGAAACAAAGCACATCATTATCAGTTAATTATGTGAAGGGAAGCCTTGGTCAATGCTTCCAAAGAAACAAGTCAGTCCATGTGGAAAAGCCTGAAGGCAGGGAGGGTAGCTGCACTCAGGCACTTGTGGGCAGAGAGGCTTCCTTACTCCAGCCAGTGCAGGGAGATTCCCTGTCCCTCAGTCACAGGAGAGGTGGTTCCCCAACTTCATGTACCTGCAAGCATCACTGTCCCAAGATACCAGTCACTGAATGCTTCCAAAGCTTAGTGGAATCCCTTGGTAAGCCTTATCTAATCAAATGATGGGAGCAGACTGGGTAATGATGCAATCTGGCAAGACAATTCAGGAGAGCAGAAAGATGCAAAGTGTGTCTCTGGGATTCTGCCAACTGCAGAGCAGGCAGGGTCACCTGCTCTGGTGTACCAGCACCTTGTGTGTCAGGCAGTTCTGGTTTCTGCCGCGAGGCTCAGCCCATCGCCCACACCAGGCACAGAGAAAAGCCTTCCAGCCGAAGCAGAACCCAGGGCAGCACAGAAGCTCACAAGCTGTTTCCCTCTATACAGAATTCATTTTACGGCTCACAGCTTCTAGTTTTAAGGCTCATGGCTCTACTTTGGCACAGCAAGCAGAAATGTACATATTTGTCTGCCATCATGAGAGCAGAGGAAATGAGTATCCAGATCACAGAAGTCACTTCAAAGCAAGGTCACTCAACCATGGCTGGCTTCAGGTCTCTATCTGTCAAAAGTCTTTTCCCACCAAGAGAGATAACAACTTCATCCAAACTCACTATCCTGCTGGAAAAGAGGGCTTCTCCACCCATCAGTCCTCCTCTTTATCCCTGTATTTTCATGTGTCAATAACTTACAGCACTATCTTTTCCACAGACTTCAGCATATTTTTGGACATTAACCCACAAGCCATTTGAGGCACAAAAGTATCCCCACCTGCACATTTTTGTGCTGTCCATATAACTTGATAATACACAGTCCTGTAGATCTCAGGTGGTCAGAGAAATAATGGGCTAACAAAGCTGGACACTTCCAGCTGAGGCTGCCCTGGCCTCAGTAGTGGGGCAAAAGTAGTGGAAACTAAAGAACATGACAAAGGAGGAGAGTTCTCAAAGGTTTTAATCTGTTTATTCTGACTGGCAGAGGACAGGCCCCGGTTCAGGGGCTCCACCTTCCTTTTCAAGAAAGAACAGAGCAATCAGCTTTCCAAAGGGCTACTTGTGGAAAAAAGAAAAAAAGGAAGCCTTATGGGCTGTATCTGTAAGATACAAAGACATTCACCAAAGATTTAATTGATACCATGCCCTCCAGCAAGCTCCCTTGCAAAACAGATTCGTCAGCAACAGAAAGTTAACAGGGCACTTGCAGTAGTCAAGTCTTCCCCTACATTTGCTGCTTTTACTAAATCTGCAAGCCACAATTTTCTGCTATAGGATTTTCAGAGGACACAGCAGTCACATAATCACAAACAGTCCTTGCAAATAGAAGAGCAAGACTAGTGAGAGTGATTCCCCCCACATCAGCTTAATGCAACCCTGATGGGGAGGGAATTTCCACACTAATGATAAACTCTTCATCAGACTGACCGGTGGCAGCATTTGAAAGAGGAGGGAATAGCCTGGTATACAGAGAATGGATCTTCAAGAAGTCATCCTCTGAACTAGACAGAAACAGTACAATTGGAGTATAGAAGTCATATCTGAGTGGCAGCTTTGGAAGAACCAAAGGGTCACAGAACACTAGCAGGTTTTTTGCAATGAAGAGCTTTCTAACAAACTTATCCAAGATGAGAAGGCCCGGCTACAGCCAGCCAGATAACCTCACATCTGTCTGTGCTTATGTCTCAATTTGATCTTAGAGAGAACATTGTAAACAATCTTTTTCTGACATTTCTTCCGCTGATCTTTTATAACCATTCCTCACTATGTTGTCCATTTTGGACAGAACAGCCTTTTTCATTTTTAAAAGTTTGCATTTTTAACTAAACTCTTTTTGAAAATTGAGAAGGCGACTCCAAGATTCCTAGATGATACTGAGGAAATTCTCACCAATGGGTGAAGGAAGACTAAACTAAGATACAAGTATATCCCTTGAGTGTATCCAGTGGAAAATAGCTCAAAGCTCTGCTTTGTGTTGTTGATTGTGTTTGGAGAAGACTAATCCTTAATGACCAAAGACAGCCTTTGGCAGGCACCAGGGTAAAGGCTTAAGAAGCCTGTAAGCATGCACATGAGCAGCAGTAATAGGATATCACTCACTTGTGGCAAATCTATCATTCTGAATACATATTGAAGGATAAGAAGCATTACTTCCCTGCTGATGATATACCAAGCACAGAAGCTGTCAAGGATGGATCAGGCTGGGTATTTCCTGTTATAAATTTCCTTCAACTGAGCTACAGTTAAGACAGAAGACCAAGTATATGCAATTACATGGATGACTCTGGGGTACCTTAATTTCTGTTGTTTTAAATAAAACTGAATGATCCTTCACACATTCTTTCCTAGGCTTGCTCCATGGATCCTTACATTGCTGCTGAAGGAAAGGGGGTACTTTTGTGACTCCAGCTCTTATTTGCAAAAGACTTTCTCCTACATTGAAGCGAATAAATTTCATGCTTTAGGCTTATTAATGGGATGGAGCAAATGTTGAAAAACACACAAAGGAGTCCTTTTTTCTGGAAGCCTGCATAACCAAAGCAGTTCACCCTTATCATACAGTCCTCCATCTATATCACACAGATAACCTGCAGAGCAAGTTCTGCTATTTGCTTTCCTTTACACAGAGGCATGTTTGTGAGTGAAAAATTTGAGCAGGATTAAGGGGGGAACTTAAGTCCAAATGGGAATAAATGCCAAAAAACTTGCCTTCCTTGAAAATATCAAAAAGGGAGGAGGAAGTGATGGACAGAAGCAATGGTGTCTGTGAGACACAAGAAAAAACTTTTCCCACTTTTTGCATAGGAAGCCCACATTACATTTCCCTTTCCTCAGGAACCTTTACAAGCACTAAGCCCAAAGGAAGGCAGAAGCCTTTTACATGAGTTCTATCCCAACTTTATTGTAGAGAGAGGCAACAGACCACCACACACATTTCTGCAGTGATGAGTATCTTCCTGAAGAGAAGGCAAAGTTAAAGAGCTCTCTTACCTTTGGGCATGCAAAATTACCCTGTGTTAAACTCTATGAAACACAGCTTCAGGCTTGTAGGTGCTTCCATGAAAAAGTGTTGAACAAGCTCCAAAGGCATCCACCCTTCCCTGAGGACCTACAATATCAACACCTAAAAACTGCACAGTGCCACTGTCTTCTATTGCACAACTAGGCATGACCTTGGCACAGTCCAACACATCCTACCACAAGGCATGATGGATACTCGATTACCATGTTCAGGAAGGCAAACACTGGTGCCCCAGGGGGGCTTTGGAAGCAGAGAGAAAGTATTATTGTCATCACCCTAAGTTTCTGTATTTGAAAGGTCCTCGGGAAGAGATAGAGCACTGGAGGCATGGCTGTATTCATCCTTGGACCAGAGATCAAGTAACCATTTCCATTTCTTAGGTGCCAGAGGAACAAAACTTCCTTAGTTCTCCCTTTTAAATGTTGTTATTCAAAAGGAGCTTTCCTAGTCAGACCATGAGAAAACGCCATCTGAAAACTAAGAAAGTATCTTTTAACCTTTTATTTTTAAAGTTCAGGAGTTAACTCCAAATCTTGGGATTCTGTCAGAAACTCATATTCCCATTCTCTGTGTTTACAATTGTTGGGGGCTCCCCCCCTCAAAAAAAAAAAATCTACTAAGAACATAAAGAAGAGGAGCAAGAATTCAGAATGACTACATGAACTACATCTGGCACCAAAGCTGGATTTTTACAGCACTTACTCTGCAACATTTACAATAATTAATTTCTCACTTGAATGTTTACAGAAGCTCCTTACATGTCATTGCAGGCAAACAACAACTTCACATTTTTACATCACCAGAATGGTTGGTGCATGCCTGTGTCTTTCACGGGTCATGCAATGAATTCCATTCTTTTTTAGGTATGTCAAGAGCTTTTAAGTATCTTTATTATTTTCCTTCTTCTGTGCTTGGTTAAACTGTGAATTTTTACTAACTTCGGTCCTGATTTGTAAACTAAGGCCTTCCAGATTGCCAATAACTTCTGTGAGCTCCTCCTAAACCGAGACTTCTCAGCACAAGTTAGTGGTGCTGCTAGAAAGTCATGGCATTCAGCTCTCCCTCTTTAGTTATCTCTACCTTTCTGGGGGCAGGGGGACAGGTGGGCTGTCAGGCCCTTGAATGAGTTAATGCATGCCTCATTATTTTTAGAAGATTTAGGCTCAAGCTGCTGCCACAGAAAAAGGCCCTGGATTACCCATTTTGGTTCCTAGCTGTGCTTTCTGGCCCATGCCTTCCCTTGCAGCACCTGGGCAGGAGGTGCCTGGCACTGGGGAAAGGATATGGCCAAATCCTTTTCAGATTGGTCAGTTCAATGAGGTTCTGTACTGGACCACTTGGGTGATTGCAGGGACTGCTACTATTTTGCAGCTATTGTCACTTATATTGAAGTTAGTTAGCCACACTAAAATCCATGTTTAATTTTACTTCTCCCCTCACAAGAGTTGACCCACTTCTGTTAGCTCTAGAACATTTAATGAAAGACACTCTATCCCTACTTGTTATTGCCCCAAGTACTCAACTACACAGTACTAAAAATCAAAACCATAAAACATAATTTAAAACATGTATTACATATAGAAATAGTCACTTTCTCATTATGGACTTTGGAAGTGCAGAACTGTTTCAACCTGCAAACATCCCCATTGAATGTTTTTTGAGAACACAGCTTTCATTGAAACTTTACCTGAGTTTCAACCATAAAAATATGACAAATTGTGTTAGCACAATCCTACCTTACATCATGCTAAGGTTAATCCTCCACTCAGCTCCCTGCTGTGTGAAACTCCAGAGGGTGCAGGGGTGTGCTTCAGAACTGCCCCTCAAAAGCCCTCCTGACTGAACAAACACACTGGCAGCAGTTGTTGTATGAAAGTATGCAGCCACGTGCATACCAACACGGGTCTTTTCTGAACATTTATTCAGAGAGAGACAGGTCTCACTTCATTCTTTTCCTCATGTTTCATTAGATCAGCTAGAGATTTTGCTTTAGACTGGCTGCAAATTCTGTTTTGCCCAAATACATCTCCGGACACTCCCTATTCCACTTCAGTTATAAAAACACCCTCAGACCCAGCCCCCCTGGAGTAGCCACAATAAAGAAACCATTTCCTGCCCCTCCAACCTGTTGAGATATTTTTAGTTGAAACTGAATGCACATACCTGTGGCAGGTGAGGCACCAGTAAGAATGGGTGTGGTGAGACCTTTGCTTTTCTAATGTCAAGTGCTTCTACAGCTTGTCATTCCAAATCCAGGGAGGTGGCCAGCTGTCTAGTCACTCCTCTCAATCAGGCTCTGTACTCTTTCACAAGGAGCAGCTCTCTTTCTCTCCACCAATATTCTTGCTACTACAAGAGGGATAATCTTTGACTCCATCAAAGGACAAGACATCCCCTCTGCTCTTGCAGGCCTCCAAATAGGAAGAACACAGTGAGATGCTACAGACTCAAACAACCTGAAAGGAATTCTGAAAGGAATGACTCTGCCCTACCTCCACCAGCAGCCTACCTCCTCCTGCAAAGTGCCCTTCACTTCACTTTACAAGATTGGTTCAGGACTGACTCTGCATCCCATCCATTACAGAGCTGGGAATAACACTCGATACCTTTTCCAAGGAGCCAGGACTCTCAGAGAGATTTAAGCTTCCTTTGCTTATACTGGAACCAACCCTATCCTGCCTGCAAAGAATAAGAGATTTTGTTCAAGCACCCAGCAGGACAGCTGGGAGTGCGCCCTTGCTCCATGGGGAACAAGCACTTTCATCTCCACCCATATTATCACTCATTTTGTTCTCTCTCTGGTGCATTGTAGGCTGTTTCCTCTTATCTGTGTAGTTTGCTACCAAAGGGCCTGTAAAATGAACATGTTCTCACTTATGGGCTTTTACCCCTGCCCCTCTGTGCTAGGACCTGGAGAAGATAAACACTTTCTCCTTTACACAAAGGCTCTTAGCAGTGAACATACCCAAGATTTGTACACTTACAATCTGCCACTGACTCAAGACCATTTTAGAGCTATCAGGCTTGAAGATATTAGGGTGATTTAAGTAAACTGCTACAACATAAATAGAGTGAGAACGCTGGCACTCTTTTTGCTCCAAACAGTATCTCGGCTCCCCATGAAAAAAGACCTGTTTTCTGGCATTTCTTTGCAAAATGTGCTGCCTGTACCAAAAGTGTAAAAGCATTCTGACTAGCATACATGTGGATTCTAGATTTATGCTGACAGTGTGAAATAACCACTGTGCTCATCTTGACTACTGCAATAGTTTCTGCTTTCCATTTAGATCTAAAAAGGACTATTTTGAATATTGTTTTTCACATAGCACAAAATCCAGTTTATGAATGCTTCTACTGGACATTAATTTTTCATGTTTTCAGTAAATTTACATATGCAGGAGCTTCTCACTCTTCTCTGCCTACCAGCAAGGAACATCCTGTGTGAAAAATTTTATTGTCAATGAGAACGAGCAGTAACCTTCTGGTTTTATATGAAGTACATTTATCTCATCCTTGCTAAAGTCTACTTATCTGGCATGGAACTCTGCCTAAGAGTAACAAAATTCCCTGCCTAGGGAAACAAAGAGCATTCCAGGATACCTGTTTTTCTGCATCTCCCAGCTTGCGAGTTGCTATCCCATGTAAACACCCCCATCTTGTGTTCACTTTTAAGTACTACGAGAATCGACCACAAAAACCCCACCCAAAACCCAGACCTATCCTTGATGGTGTCAATCATTAGCAGGTATCGGATCGAACTCCAGGCAGTGAATGTTTCATCCTGCTGAAGCTTGTTCTCTCTGTGCTGGACTGCTCTTCAGCTGACAAATCTACACTACTGATGTCACATCTGAATTGCCAGGATTGACCCAAGAAGAAAAACTTCTGGCAAAGCTGATAGACAAAGTGAACAGAAGAGGTCAGTGACAAGACAAGGAAAAACAGGTAGTGTTAAAATTAAGCAAAATATATTTTGAGTTCTCAATGTAACACATCACCAAGGCAAGGCCATCACAGCTGTGCTGTGAAAATTCAGTCACTTCTTTTTAACTATTTTCTCTTTCTTCTGACAGATCTGACTCCAGATACGCTCAGTGAGATTGGACAGTAGGACGGGCTGCAGCAGCGCAAAAGATGCACTCACACTGCACTTCATAGTGAATGAGCAGGGCCAGACCACAGCTGCTTCTAGGCCAGACGTGATGGTCTGATGGTGTCTCTGAAAGGAAAACTGGTACCATGGTACCAACATTGGCCAAGCTCAGTCTGTAGCTGGTGAAGAAGAAAAGTGGGTTTTTTCCTCAGGGATTGCCAAATTTCATATGTAGTTCTGAAAAAAAATCCACTGGCGATGGCTTGGTAGACTGTTTTTGATAGCTCAGATAGCCATCAAGAGGGAAAATAAAAAGGTCTGTTCAAATACCAAACTAGAAGGCTTTCCTTTTCTTCTTTTTCCCTCCTGCCACCTTATTCCTGACACCAATAGCCTCTTCTGTGTCATCATCATCGTTCCGAGATCGCTTCTTCTCTCCCTGCTCCCGCAGCTCCTGCAATGCAAGCAACAGTTTGACCCAGAGTCTGGCACCTGAAGAAATTTAGACTACAACAGCAAGGACAGGGTCAAAAAGCCAGCACCCACCATTCGAGCAAGCCTCTGGGCCTCAGCTACACGCTCTGTCAGCATCATAACTTCTTCCTCTTGCATGGGGAATGCTGGCAGCTTCTTGCCAATCAGGTGTTCAATGCGCTGGAACAGCTCTACATCATACCTGAGGAAAGATAAGACACCAGCTTGAATCAGCCCTCCTGAGAAGGGCTCAGCTGTCACCACTCACAGACTTCAGTCCTTACCTCCAGCCCACAGATACTGTTAGTTTGGGCTGATGGTCTCACAAGCCATTTGGCATGGCTTCTCCGATTTATTCAGCTCATCTCAGTTCAGAAGTATTTGGTAGAGATTTTCTTTTTAGGCAGATACTTCAGTGTTTATAAAACACCCTCAAAGTTACTTAAACCTGCATTATATATTTTAAAAATATATAAATATATTGTATAGTCTGGTTATAAACTGCTCTGCTCAATGAATGCCTGCTTCTAGAATTTTTCTAGACTTTCCTCCCTCCCCACCCTGGACTTTGAATTCTCTCCCCTTTAACTAAATAAAACCAACTGGCACTTCAAAATGAAAAGCAGTATTTTATTCTCACCCAGGATAAGGTCAGATATTTTCTGCTCTGAAACACAGCTGGAAAGAGTAAGTCTGTTATGTTTTATCACTTACTGTGTGACAAAGGTGATAGATTTGCCAGATCTCCCAGCTCGAGCTGTTCTCCCAACACGATGAATGTAATCCTGGAAAGAATTTTCGTGATAAGCAATAATATATTTTCTCCAAACATGGAACGGATCTTATGGCAAATCAGCCTATATATTTGCTATTCAGGAAAGAACAAGAGAAGGTCAAGAACATACTGCCAGCATTAAATGCTCAGGAGGGTGTGCAGCACCAGATTTTGAGAAGAGGCCTAAGTGGAGGCACAGCTTCAGTTTTAACATTTGAATTCTCTCTTTCTAAATAGGAAGACCAAATCCAATTATTCCAGACTGCAGGATAAAAGTTGCAATACATGACCCTTGCCAAGAATTCACTCTCACTTCCTTGGAAAGCTAATATTCACAGTGACCCCATGCCTGCATTTTGAGTCTTGGGCTCTAGTGCTCTGCATAGTGCATCTTCCAGAGAAACTCTCTGACAAGCAGACTTAAACCTGGCAAGCAGGATGAAAGAGAGGATGATTGAGAATAATTTATTTAGAAGAGTCTGATCTATCAAACATCTTTGGTCAATATGGTTCTAGGCTGTTCTCCAGGTTTCATACTACATTATGGAATTAAAATACTCCCTTCTTCATAGAGGATTTGCAGAGAGAGGATTGTAAGAAAGGATATGTTCTATGGGTTAGATGAGAGAGAAAAGCACAAAGACCACAATAACACCATTCAAGCTGCTGCCCCCACCATTTTTTTTTCTTACTTTCGTGCCATTACAAAAGGAATGTCTTCAAAAGACCTACCACACTTTCTGCTGTTTGCAAGGCACAGTATTTTAATCACTGTAAGCAACAATAGCAATTCCTGAAGTGCAGGTTAATGGTATGCTTTCTGGAACTAAGCTGGCAACACTGTCATATAACTGAGATAGTCCCATACTTTCCATACATAGAGTTGGTAACTTACTTCCTTTTCCTTTTGCGGTACTTTTGTGATATGAAGACGAGACATATTAAGGACACCTTTTTTAACTAAATGCTTGCTGAATGTCATAATCAGAGAATCTTTTCTTTTTTAAACATAAAATATGAAGGCAGACCTGCATCATGGACACGGAAATGACTACATGAAACTAGTAATACATTAAAATTATTTTCAAAGCTCTTTAATATAAAAAGGCAAAACATACAGCCTGAGCAGAAATGCAAACACACAGAGCGTTCCTTACTTCCCCTCTTCACTTACAGGATCACTTCTACAACCCAGGCCGTGAGACCATACAAACAGAGATACCAACTCAATAGCAGAGGCTGAACTACACCTTTCAGTGTACAGAATCATGAATCAGGCTTCCAGCCAGCAGAACAGAGGAAAGATTCTCCGTTCCTTTGTCTATCTGCTCCCAGTGACCAGAAGCTCTCAGCTGGGACACAGACAGGCTTACCTTAGAGTGTGTAGGAATATCGAAGTTTATCACCACATCCACATGTGGGATGTCCAGACCTCTGCTCGCAACATCAGTAGCCAGCAGAATAGAACGTGCCTTTGCCTTGAACTTGTTTAGAGAGCCCAAACGTTTATTCTGGAAAAAGGATGAAAAGGGAATGAGAGAATAACATTCATTCTAGTTAGCTCTTGTTAAAATACTGGCACAAAAGAACTGGTGAGAAACTAGTCAAAAAATTTCACTTCTCTAATTTATTTTTTCAAGTATTACAGAATCAGTGGCAGCATTCATGTTAGGCAAATTTGTATGATCAGTCCAGTCCACTAACTGTGAATACTCCTCCTGCAAGGCAGGTGCAACTCTGTGTGGTGCAGCCCATTTCCCAAGCCCCAGGCCCCTTGCCTACTCTGTTCTGTGGGTTCATGCCCATACCTGACTCATCTGCCCGTGCAGGGGAATGGCAGTGAACCCCAGGTTGCGGAGCAGTAAAGCAGTCCTCTGAGTATTGTTACATGTACTACAGAATATCATGAAAGAGTTACCAGCCAGTTCATTCAAGATATAAACCAGGTAGCTGTCCTGTAAAGAAACAAGAGAGAGAATTAAAAAAAAAAAAAAAAGCCAGAGATAATCACATGTGCAACATTAAGTCTAGGACTTAGAAAATGACAAAATATTGGACAGATGTGGGAACAAGAAAAGACAATAAGAGAGAAGAGACAGAAGTGCCATTACCTTGAATTTGGAGGGGATGAAAATGTAGTACTGCTGTAGTTTTTCAACTGTCTGATACTTGGAAGAAACAGCACATTTAACAGGATTCTTCAGAGCAGCACGCTGGAGTTTTTGAACCTGGTAAGATCAATGAAATTTATCTGGACAGAGATCTTGTCAGAAAGTTGTATTAATACAGTCTAGTCAAGAGGCTAGCCTGATGGAAGGAGAGCTAGAACAGATTAGTCTGCTCCCACCTTCTTGGTCATGGTGGCAGAAAAGAGGAATGTCTTCCTGTCTCGAGGAATCACTTTTAATATCTTATCCACCTGTAAAAAAATAAGGAAATGGAAATACTAAATACTACAAGCAAGTAGGACACAAGCCTCCACAAATATAAAGATCATCCACATGAGGAATAATGCATGTGTAAGCATACAGTAGGAACAAATTTTTTATCTTCTAAAGGGAAGGTGTAGGCTGGTATCTTGTTGACAATTAGGCAGTGTGAACTTCAAAAGTCCAACAGTGCAAATATCAGGCAACATTTCTGCAGGAATGTGTGATTGTTTTCTACACTAACTACATTCTACATCAGGCACTTCAGAGACACCAGTGGATTTCAGAGACAAAGTGCCTCCTACTTTCTTGGCAGTGCTCTGCAGAGCTCTGCCATGTTCTAATCCCACCACAGACTTTTGTGTAATTATTAGATCTTAGTTACAATTTGCTACTAATTTCTGCAGAACAGCTCAGTGTTTACTATGTGCCTGTATGAAACGATTTTAAAGGGACTCATCTGGCCTTCCAAACTCGTCTTTCAGCAGATCCCTACCTCTGTCTCAAAATCCATGTTAAGAATCCGGTCAGCCTCATCCATCACTAGGAACTTCAGAGCTCGTAAGTTGAAGCCCTTTGTGTTCTCCAGATGATCAACTAGACGGCCAGGGGTTGCTACCAACAGCATAAGGAGAGCAAATTTAGAACAAAAGGAAAAGATCCAAACAGGCAAGACAGCTGTCCATTACAGAAATGGGATTCTTTGCCCAAGAAAAGTAAAGATTACTTTGTGGGAATAACTCTTTTACAGGGTATCTTCAGAGAGTGTTTTGAAATAAGGCTAATGGAGTCAGACTCTTTGAAGAATGTTCTAAAAATAAGTGACACTAAAAAGACTGTAGACAAGCTGTACTGAGAAGGATGAGACCAGCATTTTAAATACTTGAGGAGAATGAAAAAAGCCAAAAACACTCTAGGTCTAGCAAGAATGTTTTGGAATGAGCTTATAACAACAGTTACTGGTGGATACTTTAGAAACTTTAACAAGCCAGTACTCAGAGCTTGGGACAAAAAACAAATTAAAGATGTACTCTCCTTTCTTTGGTTAGCTGCAGTTTCATAATATTCAAACTCCACATCCTCAGCACATCAACTTACCAATTATAACATGTGGTTTCTTGGCTAAGGCCAGAGACTGAGACATCGTGTCAATTCCACCCACAATAACCGCTGCAGGACAAAGAGAGAGGAGTGAATCCCTCAGTGTAGCACCAGCCCTCCCCTGGCACTGCAGTGTCTACTCCAACTGCCCACCACCTACATCAATTCTGTACAAATGAAAAGCTACTTATTTTTATGAGAATTTACTTTATTTTAGCCTATCTGAACTTCCTAGGCTTCTTAAGCCATGCAATTAATTCCTTACTGGCCACAAGTATTTTATTTTCACAGCTGCAGAGCTACAGGCAGAACCTATTCCTCGCAGTTTAACTTGGCTGTAAAAAATCTAGGAATTCTAAAAATACCCACAAAGCTTTTTTTGAGAGATTACCTAAAGAATCAATACCGACAGTCTGAAAGGAAGATTAAACTACATCACACCATAGGAGGGAGCTCTACGTAATTTCACTGGACACAAACCCACTACTGAGAACATCCTCTTCTACTTCCACCTTTAACTATTTAGACATAGAATGCAGAAGAGCTGCAGACCACTCCATAAGGAAAGATCATATGGTCCTTTTTTCTCAAACCTGATATCAGATCTCTGTCTTCCAGCAGCATAAGCTTTCTTTACATTTTGTTCAACCCCTCATTCAAATCCTCTATTTTCATCTTTGCAATCTCAAGCTGACAAACTTGTCTTCAGAAAAGCTGGTCCAATACCATGAGAGCTACTTACTGGTTTGAACACCGATGGAGGACCCAAGAGCTTCAAACTGCTCTGAGATTTGAAAGGCCAGCTCCCTTGTTGGTGTGAGGACAAGAGCAAATAATCGCTGAGGTGTTTCCAGCAGTGCTTGAAGAATTGGCAAAGCAAAGGCTCCTGTTTTTCCAGAGCCAGTTTCTGCCAGTCCAATGACGTCTCTGCCTGCGAGAAGGAGCAAGGGGACAAAAAACTGTTATACATTCAGAACAAATAAAGAAGACTTTAAAGCACTGTGCAACTAAACACAAGAATTCCCTAAAGACAGAAAAAAAGGCAGATACACAGAAGGCAAAAAAAACCAAAAACCAAAAAAACCCCACAAAGGGCCAAACCAAAGAATTTCAGAATCTCTCTGAAGCATTTTTAGACTGTGATTTTATTTTTACAACTATTACAGTCTCAATAGTCAATTTTCTAGTTAAACTTCTGTTAATATACAGGGTTTCATACAATACTTAGGTTCAAAATAAGTTGTACTTTATAAAGTCTCAAATCTGACATCAGTTTACAGCTTAATGACTCTATCTCACTATTCTAGTCCAAATGTTGTCTGTTTACTGGCTTATAAGGAAACAGACTGTGGTGTTTGCAACTTCAGTTACACAAACTATAGACAACAGCACTACCAAGCTCACATTTCACATGGCACAATTGTGCTATTGATTAACAGGGTAATATAAACCAGTTCCTTCAGTAGGAAAGGTAGGACAGAAAGTTTTTTGTCCCAAAACAATGCAGGCAACAGGGTGAAATTCATCAATAGAATCCATTATGACCTCCTAAGCTCATGCAGCCGAGAAGAACATGGTGTCAACATGCCTTACACTGGAAACAATTTCTCAGGCATGCAGTCTTACCTCTGTGGTTTTTTCCCCCCCAGGAGAATCTTATATGTGTAGTAGAAGAGTCTGACAAAAGTTAAATGCTAGGACAGAGCAGAAACTGAAAGTTTGTTCCCATTCTGACACTATGTTGTTCCTTTCCTCCTTGAGGCTGTTTTGGTGGGGGCTGTTTGTTTATAAAAATTCTAGAGGCAGAAATGTCTGCTGAATTCAGTAATTATTTTTTTTTCTGTAATTCCAGAATGCTTACAGAAAGTCACTGTGGTTTGGTTTATTACTCACTTGAGAAATGTACTTTCAAAGAGTTGCCTGCTCACGCAAAGCAAATTATACACACTAAGGAGTCAGTCAAGGCATCTTCACTTTCAGTCACACACACACAAACACACTCTGTAGATCTCTATCGGAAGCAGCACAGTCCAAAATCTATTGGAAGCTTCCTGTGTATCCCTGAGTATTTCAGGAACAAAATGATCAATGTGGACTAGCAGTCAAATGATTAATAAGAATTCTATTTAATATGGAGTGTCAGAACTACACAACAGGAGTGAGCACTCAAGGAACAGTGCTTGTACTCAATTGAAAGTTGTGACTGCAGACAGTGTTATAGGATAAGCTACTATTCCAAGCTCCACCTGGGAAGGGCAGAGAATGAATATGGAAACTACTTCTAGACAGAGATAATCAACAATGAAAAAGTTGGGACACACTCATCCTGATCCTTCTCACTCTGGAAAATTCATTCACATAGAGCTCCTGGAGCAGGCCCCAGTTCAGGATCAAAGAAGTACAGTGCTCACCTTGGAGAGCCACTGGAATAGCTTCAATTTGGATCTTCGTTGGCACCTTCCATCCTAACTGGTCACAAGCTTCACACAGGACATCTGTCACTCCCTGGACATTAGTGACGAGAGAAAAGGGAAACACACATCACCAAAAACACGTAAATTAAATCAGAGTTAGATTAAATACATGATGCAACAGAGCCAATTTGTCTCTAGCATAGACAAACCCCACGAAGACCCCAGTGCATCTCTGAAAGGGCAGGCTGCTCACAGCGATGCCCACTTCTATCAGTAATTTCATCGGATTTGTTCAAAATCTATTAGAGATGACTGTCACAGGAAGAATATGGTCGGTTGTACCCTTATTTACACAAGCAACTTCCCTCCTCACACACATCTATCTCCTCACCTCAGGGGTGACCATATGAACATAGAAAACAAAAAACACCATGTCAAGTTAAGACAACTTGAAGACAGCGGCGGCCGGGTGCGGAGCGGCGAAGGGAGCAGCAATGCCAACCCCGGCGGGGCAGCGGCCGAGTGCCCGCAGCTCCCGCCCGGCCCGGCACGGCCGCCGAGCGCCGCACGTGTCTGCCCCGCGGGCAGGCCGGCAGCTCCCGGCCTCATCCGCGCGCGGCGAGCGGGACGCTGCTTCTTGGGACAGGGCAGCGAGCACCGGGGGCAGAAGCGGCTCCGGCCCAGCCTCACCAAGTCCTTGAAGCTCCGCGGCTGCTCCTCCGCCGCCGGCTCCTGCTCCGGCTCCGCCGCCGACCCTTCCTCCTCTCCCGCCGCCATCTTGGCCGTCCCCTCCCGGCGCGGCGCAGAGCACGCTGGGAGCTGTAGTTCTCCCTGGGCGCGACGGGATTTGTAGTTCCGGAGGGAGCCGAGGGGGGCGGTGGGCTCTCCCTCAGCCCCGAGAGGTGTCCGGGGAAGGGAGCTGCGGGTCTCCAGCCGCCTGTCCCGGGACAAGGGCACCCTGGACTGGCTGTGGGAGAGCCTGCCCGTCTGCCCGCCCGGCGGTACCCCGAGCGGCCGCGCCTCAGGCCTGCTCTCGGCGCTGCGCCGCGTAGGCAGTGCTTGATGCTGCTCCCCGTTCGTACCTTCTATAGCTGTGAAAGAACAGGCAAAACGAGCTGGCTAGGCACAAAAAGGCAAAATGTGTATCAACTTACATCCACAATGTGTATAAAGAACAAATTAAGTGCTTCGGATATGTTGGTATGACACATATTGAAGCAGTAGTGATGGGAAGAGAGAAAAGAGCTGTCATTGTTGCACATAGTTTCCTGTTTATAATTGTTAGTATGAATTTTTGAAGTATGAATTATTAAATTTTTTACCATCTCTCTCTGGGAAGTCTGTCTGGGCGTGCTCTCAGTGGAAATGCTGATACACTTCAGCATCTGTCCCTGGATTCCAAGCGTGGCATTTCCTCTGCGCCCAGAACAATGAGGAAAGTGAGAGAAATACAAATGAACTCTCTGCGTGACAGGGAAAGAAGAGGAAACCTGAAACAATTCATGGGCAGGAGGAAAAATGAAACCACTGCATCCCACTGTGCTCAGGAGCAATGATAAAAAAAAACAAACAAACAAAAAAAACCACCCCAAAATAAAAAAAACCCTACCCTGTGTAGATGATCGTTGTTACCATGTTTCAAAAATTATAGCAGTCTGAGCCATCAGCTTGCTGTTTATCATGATTGCTAAAGGTTAAGCCTGTCCAGCACGTAGACATGAACCCCTGTATGGGTCACTAGGATGCCTCAGGAAATGGAGTCAGGGATGTGACAGGAAGTCACTGCTTGTGATTCTTTACTGAATTCCTTGCCCACATAATATGGTGCTGTTTTAGTGGGGAGCAGGGTGGAGCAACTCTATTCTGGTGAAATCCCAGTTTGTGTAATTCCCTATTGTCAATAGATGTATTTGAATTAAAGTTTTCTCCTGTCCTAAACTGCTGTAGGGAGCATTCATGCATGATAAAATAAATATACATCTTCTAGGTAGTAATTACTTTTTTGTGCTTTTCAGCACAGGACACTGCAGATTATACTTGATTTCGAAATTGTCACTCCAAGGCTTTTAAACCTGGCTTTAAACAAATATGCTCCTGGCACTACTGCATGTTACAGTCTTTAGCAGGGGCAGGGTGACAGCATCCCCAGCAGATGAATTTTAGTGCAGATATAACAGCTATTTCATAAAGGGTACATAATGAGATGAGATGGACAATGTGTTCAATCACACCACCTCCAGGAGTGCAGAGACACTGACACAAAAGTGCTTCATATTCATTTATTCAAATCAGCAGTGTACTTGTTCATTTCTGTTCAAACAGACATGGATATCAAAAGCATTTGAGTCCCACTCTGGAGAACCAGAGCTTTTATTGTTCCTACAACATATTAAAACAAATATTGATATCATGAAAAGAAGAGACAAAAAGGACAAGGATTCAAGCTTTGTGACATGGAGTACTGCCCTCCCTAAGAATTTGGTCAGTGTTGCGGAATTACAGAGTAGGTTTTTCTGATCATTTGGATTTGTGCCTGCACAGGGAAGTTTCCCTTATCCACTGGGGCATGCTTGTGGAGGGAATTACCTCTGCATTAACTCTTCTAGTTGCCTCAAGCTAGTTTCAGGGTTTCTTCCTTGTACCTCTTTCAGGTACTGACATGATCCCCATCATCACCATACTTGGGCACTTCTGAGTGGGATGATCCCAGACACATTCTTGTGAGGTAGGGAAATGCTACTATCCCCATTTTTAGACAGGGAACTGAGGTACTGATGGCTCAAAATTACAAAGGGCATATTTAGCAGAACAATCACTTGAAATAGGGTCCCAGTCCTTGCTCCTGCTTTGTAGGAGTTCTGCCACTGAATCATCCTACTCCTCTCTACCCCTCCTGAATATTGGTACCCGCATGTATTTCACTAACATGAAGCCTTCTGGGGGAAGCCTTTCTAGGAGTATGTGTAGCTTTCCATGAGTGCTGCCTCACCCCTCACAGATGATCCACTGTGGGTCTCACAGGCTGCTTGACTGCATGGAGAGTGGCACCTCCACCTCTCCAGTGTGCTCCCATCACGGGGCTCCAGCTCAGACCAGTAACCAACCTACCCTTCCCAGGAGATGTAACTGCTTCCTTCCACCGATGCCCTGAGGCAGACTCAGGGTCACTCTTCTTCTCTCTGTTTTGGCTCCTAAATTCTATTGTCACTGTTTGACTGTGTTTCACCTATTTTATTACTATCAGCATTCAGGTCATGCTTTCCTTTACCTACAGGGATTTGCCCTCCCTCACAGCAAAATAACAGGTAACTTGCTCTCACATGCTACAGACTTGCTTTTACTCTAAAAAACAACAGTTTTGCTTTGGAACAGAGGCCTCCTTTAAAAATAATATATATATACACACTCTTAAATACAATATCATAAGCTTAAAATCATTCTATGTAAATAAATAGAATACAAACATCACAGGTCTCAGTCTGGAGAGGTTTCTCCAAACAGATAAATTCTGGGCCTGCTATTTCACCCTGGGATGGTGAACTATCCGTACAGTCTGTCATATCTGGAGCTGCTTCTTTCTACAGCCTTTCCAGATGTACCTTGGTAATGGGATTGTACTCTACTGGAAATTGGCAGCTGCTGGCTTTTTTAGGGTACTCCAGCCCTTGTACCACACACAGATTCGTAAGTTGTTTACAAACCAGGTTCAGTCAGCATCAGGTATTTCATCTGCCTCCTGACCTACTTATTTTTGCTGCCTTGAGGAAGCAGAGCAGTGAAGATGGCTGGGGAAAAGGGGTCTGCAGAATGTCTGCCTCACAGCATCAGCACCATGAACTGTAAAACAACAGGTAGCAGTGCTAATGGTCACAGTTAATAATGTAATGTCTCCAAACCCAGTTTTAATATGGGCCGAACGCTGTTTCAGCTGGACGGTCTCAGGATCTCGGCAGTGGTTTTAGCATCCAAGCTGAGTCTCCTCGTACATGGGGAAAGCTCTGTTCTGGACTCAAGAAGATCACAAACTTCATCCATTGCCCTGGTGCAGGTCTCCAGGTTGTCAGCCAGCTTCTGGATTTTGGCCTTCAGCACAGCCTGGCTTACTTTAGTGACCTCCTTTGTGTATTCGGGCACGAGGAAGCTCTGGGAGCCGCAGAAGACCATGAAGCAGACGGAGTTGTAGAGCGAGATGGATGCCCTCTTCTCTGACTGGCGCAGTGTAGGGTCGCCCGGGCCCTGCCCCCGGCGAAGAAACTCCAAGCAGCCGAGTATTTCCCTCATCTGTTTCCGACAAGTCATTGCAATTTCCTGCACCTTCCTCACCTCCCGGGAATTGCAGAGCACTGAGGAAAGGTCAGAAGTGATGCTGACGGCCCCCCCTGCCGTGGCCAGGCCCAGACCCACAGCCGATGCCAGCAGAGATGCTCCCAGTGTCGCCGGGCTCAGGGACAGCCCCAGGATGGCTGTGACTGCTCCGGCAGCGGTCAGGGTGCTCCCGCTGACATTGGCAATCAGGGACCTCTTGCGGAGCTTGTTGAGTTTCCGAGCTGCCTTGTGAAGGTGAGCAATTTGGCCACGCAGCCTCCGTCTCTGATCCAGCAGGGCTACGTGGAAGTGGTGCGTGGGGTCTGGTGTCGGTGGAAAGGCAGCACTGCTCCTCTCCATGGCTTCTGTCCAGAGAAAGAAAAGTCTGGGTTGGGATTTGTGTAAAAAAGCACCATGAGACATGCTTATCCTTATCCCATTTCAGGGATGGCATCCAGCCAAATTTTTGTTGCTTCAACCCAGCTACAAGAAGGTTTTTCCATCTGTACACACATACACACTCACGTACACACGCATACCTATGTGAATGTGTATATTTAATTACATATTCCATTGTAACTTTCAGACAGCAAAACTTTAAAATGTTTTTCTTAATCCCTGCAAAGACTAAAATATCCTAGGGACTGGGGTCAGAGGTGCTGCTACCATTATCTCTGTGAAGACACAAAAGGTCTTTTGAAACCCTGGGCACAGAATTCCCTTTAGATTAGGTGACTCAGCACCCAGAAGAGCAATGCTGCCAGAACTAATCTGTTGTCCCCAGAACCAATCTGTAATCTGATGGGATTCAGAAGGACATCTTTCACAAGAAAGGTCAGACTCCAAGGAGGTGAAAGCCACCATCCCAGGTTTTTGTTTAGGGGTGATTTCCTGTTAAAGGAGGACAGAGGGAAGCTGCTGAGTGGGGACTATGTCTGGATTTTCCATATAGGAGGTGAGGAGCTTATTAATGCCTTGGATGGGTATTGTGAACATCCTTCCTTTCTTTAAGCTTCAGCAACTCAAGGCCCTGCAGCATTTTTTTTCCTATTGTAACCTGGTGTCAGTGTATGAATAAAGATGGGAACTATTGTTCTGTGGTGCTTAGTCCAACCTGTGGTCATAAATACCCAGTTACAGTGTCAGGGAGGCCTCTGAACCTTGTTTAAATGCATTGTGAAGAGCACATCAGAAAAGCAGGCCCATTTTTAGTGTGCACTCCCTGGCAGTTGGGGAAATGGGAAATAGAGAGGCCTGTGAATAGAAAAGGCTTGAAAACTGCTGGGTCTGGAAAACCTCCCCTGGCAAAATAGCAGGAGAGGCTTTGCTTCTTGAAGATGAATCTTCAGTGTTTCTGTGCTAGACAATCTCTGTTTGCTGTCTCTGTTCATTGCCACAAGTGCAGAAGGAAATGTTCCAATAAATATTTTCAGGTTGCTGTAGGGCTGCAAAATTCTCTACAAAGGAAGCCAGCAACTTCAATCTTGCTTACAGGGAAGCTGAGACAACAGAGCCAACAGGAGTGGTGTAGCTGATTGTCTGGTGATAGCAGAGTTTTGGTTCTTCACAATACTGCATTGTGCACACAGCTGTGCTGCCTCTGCACCTAGCAAGGTCCAGCCATGGAGCTGAGAAGCTGTTTGGAGCCCATAATGCCCTCACAGACAAAAGGAGTCTCTGTAGCAGAAAGACCCTGTCACTAAAAAAACTCTGCACTGCTGCTGTTACCTTTTCACTTCTAAGTCTTCTGTACTGTGGGAACTGAAGGTGCCTGGTCCCTCATAAAGTCACACTATGTAGTTAGGATCCCTGGGGCTTCATTCTGCAGAATCCTCATGTTGCAGAAGGAGAAAACTTTGTACCATAGTTTTTCCGTCTGTAAGTGTATTAATAAATAATTCTCACTGCAATCTTTCCCCCTTTTGCTGGCTTGTCCTAATTCATCTCACACCTTTAAGATGCCCCCCATGCCCTTCAGGAAATGTCCCCAGTCTCTCTTGGTGTCCTTAGGTCATTTGAATCACTTAGTACATTGTGCTTCTCTTAACTGGAGCCTGTGTCCTATTATTTTTACACTATAATTAGGAATAAAGCTGGAAGCACAAGGACTAACACTAGTCTAAATGGATACCAGCACTGAAATGGACAATGAGCATATCACCAATAACTTAACAACAGATCAATATGATGATCATTAAATATGCTAATTCTTGTAGCCTCTTAACAATTTGTTCTGAAGATTTACTTGCTGAGAACTGTCTCAGATAATAACAGCAACTATCTCACTGAATTATTAGAACTATCATTCATTGTATAGCATAGGCCATGTAGTGATGCAAATCTTTTCACATTGATTAATGACAGCAGAAAGGAAAAAAAATCCAACTCCTGCTTTTAGAGAAAAATCTCCCCAACACTAAAGGTATACATGAGTCCAAAGCCTGCAAACAGTTTCCTAATAGAGTACTCAGAGACACTAAAAAAATTATTGGTTCAAACTTACCTTCAGTTTCCAGCCACCCTCCCAGAAGACAAATTTTGATCTGTTTCTGGAGGAGACCAATTTATAGCTCCTGTGGACCAATTGCTGCGATGGGAATGCTTTGCCTCATACTGGGAGTTTGCCATTTCCTGTTCTCCCTTGTGCAGAAGGATGTGACACACTTGAAAGTGACCTGTGGGACAGTGAGCACACATCATGTTCAGGAAATGATCCCTGCGAATGAACATTGTGTGTTCACTTTTCCTGAAGTGTAGGGTGGAAAAAAGGTTTAAAAATCGCAGCCTATTCCTGGCTCTGAGGTAGTGCAGACATTCCCTGCAGGGAACGGTTGCCTTTCCTTTCCCTGAAATAGCAACTGACTTTACTCTGTGCTGGAGCTGCCAATTGTTTGATGACTTAAGTTTCCCTCCACTACACATCTAGAGCCAGGGGAGCTATCAGCCAGCCAACTACTCCATTCAAGGCCAGTGTACTTTTAAAATCCCAGCTCTTTGGGAAAATCCATAAAAGGGAAGCAGCCCCACAGCAAGATCATTACTCTAAATTCCCATTCCTTCTCCTTCCCAGTACATAAAAACATGCTGCAAAAGGAGTGATCATCCTGTGGATTTACTCTATTTCTTAACCATAGGCACCACAATGGTTGAGAAACAGGCCCCTTGTTTTCCTGAGGTGCCTGCCCAGCAATCAGTAATCAGAAAAAAGCATCATTTGGATCCTCTGTTCTGCTGTCTGCTGTTGCCTGGAAGTTGTGCCATACAGATGTGGAGAGAGGGAAGAAGTGATGAAGTTGTTGGGTAGAAACAGCCTAAGTGCCACTCCTGTTGAACCATGTCCAGTTTTAATCAAAGATTATTTTGATGGTATCGGGAAAAAGAACTTCTTTGATGGCACTCAGAGGTAGTCCAAAGTGAAATGTGTGTTTATTGAGACAGGGTCTGTGGTCCTGGGGACACTTCTTTCGAGCTGTGCTTGAAGATGGGGCATCTCGTTTCTTGTTTGGTGGATTCTTACTCTTCAGGACTATTTGTTGAGAGGGAAGCTCTGCTTTTGCCTCTGACCTATCTAATCTGAAAGCTATCTAGCTGTCACTGAGTGTGAGGCTTTCTTGTTGAATTTGTCGTTTGTGTAGCCACACAATTGCTGGAGCTGACCTTAAAAAGGGCTGAGACTGAGAAGCAGCAGACAGGGAGAGAAGTCTAGGATTATTCATTTCAACAGAAACTTAGTTTTCAACTATGTTAAAATAGGTGTGAAATAGTATGCCAAATGTTTTCTCTGGGGTGGACCTACAGGAGATGAAATGTGAATTAAAAAATAAATAGCATGGGAGAGTTATTACAGCCGGTTGCAGACATGAAAAGAGAAAACAATATTTTGAAGTAAAATGTGCAATCCTGGTCTGTTACAATCTGTACATACTGCGCGTTAACAGGAAGGTGAGCTTTGACACTGAAGGAAACTGTGCTTTAGCCCTTCCCTTTGTTTTAGCAAGCATATGCTTGAATTTGAGCCCATCTGCCTTGGCAAGGGTTTGGAGTTGACAGAGAGTTCTTTTCTCACATTCCCAAATAGAATAGGGCACTTTTTTTTCATGTGACTGCATTTGTGTTAGAATTTGTGCCTGCAGATATGTCCTTGTTAGGACAGCAAGTTTTAGTAAAAGTGAAATAACAAAGAAAAGGAAAAAAAGGGTCAAGAACGAGCCTAAGATGATGACAGAGTTTTGGATGCTCTCCTTTTCCTACTTGTCTTCTTTCAATACACTCAGCTGCAAAATATTTTCTAAAACTCCTGTAATGCTCACTCTGTGGGCAAGGACTTGATTAGGGTGCAGAAGAGATGATTCATTTTTCTTAGACTATTCCCTAACAGATTTTCATGTCCACTGAAAGATCTGCACTTCACTCAAGATCAGATGTTGGTCTCAGCTAAGGATGGTTTCTCACAGGAATCATCCCTGGGCTCCTTCACCATTTAAAGAGAATATTTCCCCATAATACACCCCTTTAATAAGGTGCATACCCAGAAAGTATGGACTTCATGTGAGGAGCTACAGATGTCAATGTGATTTTAGAGAAGAGATGTGTGTTATAAAAAGAAACACTATTTCCTAGCAAGTGGCCCTACCACAGCATTTTGCTATTGGTTTTTGGCCTTGCTGACACTCTCAGAAACATCACTCTGGTGAGACTGCTGGTCTTCTTTCCCACTGATAATTAGAAAGACCAGCTCCAGCAAAGATGAGCAGGTGGGAATGGGAGCTGGATGGGAGAAGAGTGTCTTGTCTCAGCACCTGCCAAGGACTGAAAGGCTTCTAGTGCCATTAGTGCACTTGCACAGATGTAAGTACATCTGCTGAGTCACCAAGTAGGTTCCAGGAGCCTGCTTGGAGTGAATCTTAATTTATCAGGGATCTCCGGATGTGTGAAGTAGGTCTGACTCTCGCTGGGCAGTTCTGCAAGCTGGCGGAGGCCTGACCATGCTGCCTGCTGTACACTGCTGCCTCTTTGTTGGTGACCTGAAAAGTGCTTGGGCTTGATGGTGGAAGGGGCACAGCAGGTGTTCACAATGACCTGGCCAAAAATGCTTCGCCCTTTCCTGTCTAGCCACATCCTCTTGAAATGCCTGAGGGCACTCTATGGGAACAGGTGACCAGAAAAGAGAAGGAAGGATGTTTTATTGCCTCAGCTCTCTTCCTTTCAGGGAATTTTGGCAGAAAGGACTGGTTTTTATGCTCCTGATCTCTCCAGCAGAAGGGATACATGGCAGAAATGTCTGATTTGAAGCTGTTAGCAGCTACTGTGATGTAACATTTGAATGCAAATGTGTAACATTTGAAGCTGGAGTTTCAAATAAATAGTTCCTTGACTAACATTGTTTTGATCAAATAACTGAGAAAATTTGAGTAAATTTACACTTACATACCATAGTTTTAGCAGGAGATTTCTGCCATTCTTGGTACTTTCAACCTTAACTACTAGACCCTGGAGCTAAAAGCTGTCTTTGTTTTCTTTTATTTTCTTTTTCAGTTGTATCAAAGACAAATCTTAACTTTTCACAGCAAGATATTAATTTAGAATCAGTGGAAACTAGAATAGACCAAAACTAAAACTAAGCAAGCAAATTGGAACAAATGGGCTGTATCAGCTATTAGTAACCTTACCAGCAGATCCAAATTAATTTTTTGAAAGCATTCCAGAATGTGACAAGCTGCTCTCAGCTCTGGTCACCGGTGTATGTGGGTCCTCAGCTGGGTTTGAAGAAAGTTGCAAAGAGCAGAGGAGGATGGGGGGAACAGGAGATCCTATGGGATGAGAATACATCTTGTTAGTTCCATTTAAGCAGAAAATTAGCCAAGTGCACTGACTGTGCCTGCTTTGTGAGCGAGCATTCGTGTACCAAAAATACCATCCCAAATTGCCTTGTCAAAACACTGTTAGCAGCGTTTGCAGAGATCGGGTATTTATTTTGATTCAGAGAATGAATACCTGCAGTGCATTTGAACAGAGCAGCTTCCGCTGCCACTTGCCAGCTTTAATGACATGTTTCAGTGCAGGCTGTGTGGCATAAGACTCTGGTGCACAAAGGAGCAGCTCCACACTCAGCCCGTGAGCCTCCAGCCCTGGCCGTGGCACAGCTGTAATTCAGCGCAGCCACACGCGGGCTCTGCTGACCCCAGCGCTGTTGGAGAATGCTTTTCTCTGCTCACCCTCTTAGCAGTGGCAGCAGCAGCACCACACCAGAGCAAATCTGGCTACCCATCCCCTCCAGGACTATAGAAAATAGAGAATTGTTTAACATATTTCCAGAACCACAAAGAAACCTCTTAGGTTGGTAAAAAATAGAAACTAGGTAACCTGGTTTCTCGTGTCTCTTTTTCAATAGACTTCTTGATGGCTGAGTTCACAAGGCAACATTTCTCTTGAAAGAAGAGAGCCTGGATTCTTCTCACCTACAAAATCTACTTATTTTTGTAAAACTTTCAAGAAGTCAGTGTCTTTGAAATCTTGACTGCTTTGTCAAATTCTGTTTGAGATTGCCTAGGAACCACAAAAGCTACTGTGTTATGCTGACTAACCCTCCCGTTTGGCACAACAGAAACATGACAGGGACACAGAGGCCTGAAGAAGTCCAGGAAAAGTTAAAAGCTGTTACCTTGAACTTCAGATAGAGACGCATCTCACCTAACTTCAGCCCTCTTTAGAGGTTCATACGCAGTTTATTCACACTCTGAAGCTCCCTCTAGAGACAGGAGAAGAAAAGTCATCTTCAAAAGCTCCTTCAGTCCATCTCTTCCAGGCATCTGCTCTATAATATGTGACAAATTATAGACAGCAATTCTTTATCCCTTTCCTCCCACAGGTTTGCTAGGTTTATGTTATGATTTCAAATATCCTGTCCCACAGTCCCTGCTCTGGGCCAGAGATGGTCCCTAACCCAGCCCTTGCTGTCCTGCAGTGTGAGCAGGAGATGCTGTTGTGCAAGACTGTGTGGCAGTGGTGCATCCCTGCCTGTCCCCTCTGATAGCAGGCCCTTCTCCCCCATGGATTTGTCCCCCTTCTAACACCAGCAGGAACATTTCTGAACTACAGAACACTTGCACTAGAGGGATGGATCTCATCTAGATCCAAAGAGAAATGGGCATCTGGCTGTGAGTATGCAGTGTGGCCTTCTGTACCTCCCAAATATTTGTCATACAGGTACCATTGCTTGCATCCATACTTAACTCAGTATTCAGCAGGAGATAAATGGCTGTTGGGATGGCCTTTATGTTCATCATGAATCAAGTCTCTGTATTTGACAAATTTGCTTTGAAAAGTGTTCATGAATGCTTTAAGGTAAAATTGCATTCTTGATAAATTCTTAGAAATTGTGAATGACTCTCAGTTCTTCTATCTCCAAAACAGAGATAGGCTTTACAGGTTTGGGAAAGTCATGGTAATATGAAATGCAGTGCAGTTAGGTGTTCACGTAGAAAAGTCATAAGGAAGGAAAGGAATAGGAGAAAGAGTTCAAGAAGAATTATCCTCAGTATGAGTACAAACAGCTGAACACTGGACCTTTGTAAGATTCTCTTTCTAGGACTTTTAATGCCATCTAGGTGACTGTTCAGCTTTGTTCCCTAGAGACAAATATCACAAAAAGTACATGCAATAATTGGAAAGCTATCCTAATTTTGCAATTTTTTAGTTGGCTAGCAGGCAGTAAATTTGGTTTGGATTACTGTATAGTTTTGCAAGTTAATGGGCATTTGTTACTGGTTATAATAATCTATACTTTCCATGCTGTCTGGGAAGTGCTCTAAGGGGCTTTCAGATCTGCTCTCTTGCAGTGCAAGCTGGCTCACATTGATAGCACCTGCAAAAAACAAATTGTTCTGTAGGATTTTCAGGAAGCTTCTTGCTACTTTATGAGAGATCTCTGTTCCTACTGACAGTGCATGCAGAGACTGACAGCCTGGAATACCACTGAGTTCCTGTTCTTGATTTCACCTTACTTCTAAGGTGAGGTAGCAAAGCTGGTGGAATTGTGATGGTAAATGCATAAGAGGGAGAGATTAAATGCACAATAAGTGAGATCTCTCTCATTAAAGATCCTTCCTATCTGTTCTTTTTTATGTCTGCATTGCAGGGGAATATGTGCTACTACACAGTTTGACCATGACTAGAGTAATGATCTCTGGTGCATAACTTCAGGTTTTTGTGCTGCTAATCACACAAGAAACAGCAGGTTTTGGGTGAGGAGGGTGAACCAGGAACCACAGTCTTTGTATATTTACATCTCTGTGAGGTTATGCTGTATTTCTATCTCCTTGTAGGTCTTGATTATTCTCTTAGACTTCTGCATCCTTCCCCTAATAAAAATTACTTGAGTGCTTGTATATAAAATGGTAATGAGATTATATAATCTTTGTAAAAATAAGGAAAGGGCATAATGGGATAAAAACAGAAGAGGAAAATCAAATAAGTAGGCACCCCTAAAATAATTTAGAAATTTAGCCTCAAGTTACTCAGTTTAACATTTGATAGAGAATGGTGGAGGCAAAAGTGGAGCAAGATGAGGACTACCACAATGTGTCACAGTGCTGCTGTGGTACATACTGAGAATCTTTTCCTCTGGAGATGGTTGTTGTTGTGGTTGGCACCACTATACAGGATACAGGCATACACTATACAGGCATACAGCTGTGTGCCAGGTGTGTGAGTAAATTAAAACAGTCTTGGGAATATTATGCTACAAGCTGGAGGGAAGCGTGCAATTGTGATGCATTATTACTCTTGTAAAATAAGATTTGCAGAGAATGGGGAGGTAGAAAGGCATCTGTCCCAACACAGGTATTGGCATAGGTGATTGCAGAGCTGGTGAGTACAAAAACCTGCTTAGACACTGTAACACATTTAGTTTTTAAAGGACATCAAGGATTCTACCAGACCTAGATGGGACAGAGCAGACACACAGTCATCCAATTGATTGCAGGAAATTTTAGGGGATGTCAACAATTTCACTATTTGGTTCTTTATGCCCCCTACTACTACATGGTGTAAATGTTATACAGTCAAGTTCTCTTGCTTTGTAAAATTTCCAGAGAACCTTAGTCTATAAGCCATCCCACTTCAAGCATGATTTGAAAGCCCAAATCCAGATTTGCTGAATTTGCTGTCTTATTGGCACTCTCTGCCTCATCATAACATCATAATTCCTCAGCTAGGGGACCTCAATGGCCAGAAGGACTTAGAAAGAAAACATAAATGCAATAAAAATGTGTTTATTTTCCTAAAGTATTTTTTACCATAATTATGAAAGAAAATGTCAAAGTGCCAATAAGAGGTTTTTTTTTTTTTTAATCAGACTTTGTGAATTAATTGAAGATGAAGAGTCTTCCAAAATCTTCAAGAGGTTCATTTTACTGTTCTCTGGTGAAATGAAATAAAGAAGTGCAGTGGTATTTTTCCACTCAGAGATTTTTCTTCTTGTTGAAAAAAGGAAGTTAATCATAACTGGTCAGCATCATGCCTAAACTATTCCAGTGCAGTTTGTTTACATGAGGTAGAAATAAATGCAGCAATTTGACCATGCTATATTATTGATGCCCATTAAATTTCAAGGTAAATGAATTAGGAACTCCTGACAGAGACACAAAACTATACCCAAAGTTGTAGCTGGTAGGAATATATGCTAATGGGGTAGTCACCACAACATGCATAAAGAGCTTTGCCTCACTTTGTGCTGCAGCCAAAGCTTTTTTGTACAGAAACTGCTGTGACATGATCGTATAATGGAAAAAGAGCAGTGAGCAAAAATTGTGTTTTTTCTTTCCAGCTTCAGATCAAAAATGAATGGTGCTCTGACATCTCTTGCCAGACTCAAGATCTGCCCATTTTCCCCCCCCATCAATGTTAATGAATCACATAAACTAATTGTACATATTTGGCACTGTGTACTTCATTTAGAGTGTGATCTGTTTCTGTGCACCAGACACTTATATGCAGCTCTGTGGTCTAACACAAACTTTTTAATCTTTGGTGTTCAGGTCCCAAATTATTCCACTGATATTGCAGAGCCTTTCACTAAGTTAAAAACAGGAAATTGTTTCAAAGAGGGTAGCCCATTCTGAGGGGGATAAAGTATGTGCTGTCTCATACTTCATGCATAGAAGTGTGGAACATCTGGAAACTTTATGTTTGGAAGTAAAGGAAAAAAATATGCCTGAGTGTTTCACCGTAGGCAGAGGTATAAACCTCGGTAGGAGAAGTGGCAGCACAGCTTTGTGCTACCTCACTCTCTTTGAAGCCATTTTATTTTAAAGAATGTCATTCTGTTTGCTTTCTTATCTAAGGCAAAAAGGATCCTCTGTAGATTAATACTGAGTTTTCTGACTCACGTTCACTTTAAAGCAGAATTTCGAATTTACGAAGAAAAACAAAATTTTCTCATTCTCGAGGTCCGTTTGCTAGCAGGACTCGGGATTTTTTGTCCCCTAGCTATTCAAATCCAATTGGTTTCTCGACAAGACATCATCAAGCGAAAAACAGCCGCTCCCGCGGCATTACAGATGTAGAAAAACGAAGATTTCGTGACAGATAAAGTAGAAAAAATCCATTCTATTTCACCTGAAGAAACACAAGACGGAGCGCGGGGCACCGGGCTGCGGCGGGGCCGGGCGGGGCCAAGCAGCGCCCGCCGCGCTGCACTAAACGGGGGCGCGGCGGGGCCGGGCCCGCCCGGTGCTCCCCGTTACACCGCAATGCCCGAGACCGCCCCGGCCAAAGCTCCCGCCGCCAAGAAGCCGAAGAAGGCGGCGAGCGGCTCCAAAGCCCGCAAGCCCGCGGGGCCCAGCGTCACCGAGCTGATCACCAAGGCCGTGTCCGCCTCCAAGGAGCGCAAGGGGCTCTCCCTCGCCGCGCTCAAGAAGGCGCTGGCCGCCGGCGGCTACGATGTGGAGAAGAACAACAGCCGCATCAAGCTGGGGCTCAAGAGCCTCGTCAGCAAGGGCACCCTGGTGCAGACCAGAGGTATAGATACGTCTGGCTCTTTACGACTCAGCAAGATACCCGGAGAAAAGGCGCTTAAAAAAAAAAATATATATATATATATATATATATATAGTGATCAAGCCCAAGAAGCTGGCAGCTAATAAGCCTGCCAGTGCTGCCAAGAAGGCAGTGACAGCAAAGAAGAGCACCAAGAAAGTTAAGCCTGCAGCCAAGAGTCCCAAGGTGACAAACACCACAGGAAAGCGGTGGCAGCAGTGAAGAGCCCGGCTAAGGTGAAGATGACGGTGATGAAGTCCAAGGTAGCCAAGCCGAAAGCGGCTAAGGCAAAGAAAGCAGCGCCCAAGAAGATAACCCCACATGGAGAGCCATCAACATTTTCGTAAACGGACTGAAATGCTCGGGTTGGCACCGTCTTGGGGAAGGGTGAGGGGTAACAGCAGTCTGCTGGTGAATGTGCTCTTTGAGTCCGGCAACAGCTCGACGGGCACTTGAAATGGTAGGGGAAAGGTAGCAGCGCCTTGGTAACTTTCAAAATGCTTACGACGCACAGGGATTGGTTGCTGAAGGGCTGACCCGCTTCCTGGAACTGCTGTCAGCCCCACCCTTGAGGGAAGTAAGACAGCGTGCGGCTGGTGCTGCATACACGGAACTGCGTCAGGCGCTGACAGTTATACACCCGAGACAAGCATTCCAAAACCTCCCATGGGCTGTCACCATCGTAATGAAATTCAAGCTCTTTCTCGGAATATGTAGGTGGCTCTTAAAAGAGCCTTTGGGTTTCTGACAGTTTAACTTCACAGCCTTTGTTCCTCGGCGCTCACTTGGCTTTAGCCTTGTGGCTGTCGGTCTTCTTGGGCAGCAGCACGGC